AAAAACAACCACTCCTTTTCAACCTTTCCCTTAATCTCCCAGTGGTTCTTGAGAAATCTGCAAAACCCTAGAGAGGAGGGCAATAAAAAAACTGGGTAAACCAGAATAAAAGAGCAAGACGAGCAGATCTGAACTTGTTACATGCGCTCTGATACCATGTGAAAACCTTATTTAGTCCTAGGTTATAGTAGAGAAGGAGAAGAAGAAGAAGAAGAAGAAGAAGAAGAAGGGTTCGGCCTGTAGAGGAAAATCAGTCCTCTCTCTAGTCAACCCACTTGTATTTATCTCCAATAACATAGTTACAAGAAAGACCATATTGTCCCTCACAAGTGATGGGACACATAAACTTAAATAAAACAGACCTTTCACTCTCAAATATATAAACCCAAATGACCAAAATACCCCTGTTTTGTGTACTCTAACAAAAGCAAAGCTCCAGGACCTAATGGCTTCACAATGGCATTCTACCAAGATTGTTGGGACATTTTGGAAGAACATATGTTAGGAGTGTTTGAGGAGTTCTATGAAAGAGGAGTAATTAACCCAGGCCTTAATTCGACCTTCGTTACTTTGGTGCCAAAGAAAAGTGATGCAGCTCATCCTCATGAGTTTAGACCTACTAGCTTGGTAACTAGCCTCTACAAAAATATAGTGAAGGTCCTTTCTCTGATGATTAGGGCTGCTCTCCCTCTTATTGTCTCTCCGAATTAGGGTGCTTTTGTAAGGGGTAGGCAAATCACTAACCAAATCCTAATTTCTCATGAATGTGTGGAGGACTACAAACGAGTTGGAAAAAAGTTTTGTTAGTAAGTTGGACTTGGAAAAAGTTTATTATATGGTGCATTGGTCATTCTTGGTGGAAGTTTTAAGGAATTTTGGATTTGGGGAGAGATGGTGTAAATGGATAACAGGTTGTGTTAAGACCTAGCATTTACTCCTTGTTGGTGAATGGAACTATGGTGGATTTCTTCCCAACCTTAAGAGGGATTAGACAAGGAGATCCCCTATCTCCCTTTCTTTTCACTCTAATTGTTGAGGTCCTTGRAATGCTTATTGCTAGGGCAAACTCACTTGAGTTGTTGAAGGGCTGGAAGGTTGGTCGGGCCAGTGTTTCAATTACTCACTTGCAATTTGCAGATGATACTTTTCTAGTGAAGGTGGCAATGAGAACTAGGTTAGGAATCTAAAGCTGACAATACAACTCTTTGAGCTAATCTCCAATCTCAAAGTGAATTTCGACAAGTGTTGTATTGTGGGTGTTAATGTGGAAGAAAGGGAGATGTTAGAGTATGCAAATATCTTGGGGTGTGACTTGTGAGGTGTCACAATGGTCGTTGAAGTATTTAGGATTTCCTTTGGGGGACAATTCAAAAAAGAGCAGTTTATGGGACCCAATAGTTGAAAGGTTTGTTAAGAAACTTACTTCTTGGAAGAAAAGTTATTTGTCTTTAGGGAGAAGGATCACTTTGATAAGAGATACTCTAGCCAACCTTCTTGTGTATTTCAAGTCTGTTTATAAGATGCCAGGAATGTGAGCAAAAAATTGGAAAAGTTGACGAGGGACTTATAGGAACCAGGGGAGGAGAAAAAGGACCACAGAGTTAACTGGGAAATGGTGAGTAGGAGCAAGAAGTTTGGCGAGTTGGGTCTAGGCAATCTACAAGAGAGGAATACAGCTCTGTTAGTAAAGTGATTTTGGAGGCTTCCTATGGATAAGGACAAGCTTTGGGCTAAGATAGTGATTGGTACACATGGGCTTGCAGCTGATGATTGGGATGTTGGATTACTGACTGGGGCTACCAGAGCCTCTCCTTGGAAGTCTATCCATGCTATCCTCCCATCTTTCCTACCTTTTATTAGGTATGACCTCTGTTCTGGTAACCTTATAAAATTTTGGGAACAGGTGTGGGTGGGTAACCTCTGTTTGAAAGAAGAATCCCCTTCTGTTTTTGCCTTGTCTAGATATAAAGAAAAACCCGTGTCCTCTTTTTCAGTTCCTTAAAACTGGAGCAATGGTTTTGATTGGGATTTGGGGTTGAGGAGGGGTGTGAAGGATTCAGAAATTGATGATGTTTTGGACTTGGTTCATATCCTTAATGGGATTTACTTGAATTCCTCTACACCTGACAGTCATATTTGGACCCTATCCTCCTCCAGTGTATTTTCTTGTGCTTCTTTCTTTAAGGCCCTGATCCAACCTTTTGACTCTTTGGGGACTTTTCCCGGTTAAGGAGGTTTGGGGTAATCCCGTTCCTCCAAGAATTGGAGGTTTTTGTTGGGAAGTCTTCCTAGAAAGAATTAATACTTATTAATTTCCTGTCCATTTGCAACCTTAGTTTGGGAATGGTTTTTTTCATTGTTTTGGGTGCAGGTGGTCTCCCCCGGCTACTGTGCAAAGCTTATTTGCCTCTACTTTCTTGAGATGGCCAAGGAAAAGGGGGCGAGTATTATGGAGATGTGTAAGGACAGCTGTGAGCTGGACTCTATGGGAAGAAAGAAATGCAATATTATTCCTAGACAAAGAAAGAAGTAGAGAAGTTGTCATTGAAATTATTATGGTGAGAGTAGTTCTTTAGGTAAAATCTATGAAGATTTCTGCTGATTTCTCAACAGGTGATATCATGAACAAATTGAAGTGGCTAGTTCTGATTGCCACAATCCTATTATAAAGCCTGCTTGGTCTCCTCCAATATTTGACTACATCAAGTTGAATTTTGATGAGACTAGTACTAGGAATCCAGGCCCATCTTGTATTGGAGGGGTGTTTAGGGACAATGAAGGCAAGATCATTGATCTTTATTCAGGCCCGATTGGAATAGGTGACTCCCTAAGGGCTGAGGTTATGGCAGTTAATGGAAGGTCCGCAAAAGGCAAAAGATCTGAATGTCAGAAATCTGATTGTAGAAAATTATTCAAAGCTGGTTTTGGATTGGCTGCAAAAGGATGATAAAGGATTCTGGATCATTAATAATGAAAAAAAGAGATTCAAGTGGATGATTCAAAATATGGAAGTGCGGTTCAGTTGGGTTAAAAGGGCAGCAAATGGTTTTGTTGATGTTTTAGAAAAACAAGGAGTGCGGAGGAATCAGTTGTTTTGGGCTCAGCTGTAACAGTGTTTTTGTTTGTGGAGAGTTAAGATAGTTTACCTCTCCCTATTATAGTTGTCAAGGTGACAAGGCGCCCTTGGAGGCTTGCCTCACTCAGTCGCCAAGAAGTTTTGTATATTGTCAAATAAAATACTTCTAGATTGTTGTTTTTTTGAGATTATAATTATAAAATAGATATTATTAAACAAAAATATTCATTTTTTGTGTTTATAAACTAATTTCTTTTTATTATTTTCTTATTTGTTAGGGTTTAATCAACACAAATATTGCTAACTGCTCAAAGACTTCAAAATCTGGACCAATATGTAAGGGAAGAACTTAAAATTTTGTCTAATCAACACCTTTTCTTTTCTTCTCTTCCTATAACAAAAATAGGGGTTCAGCCCCCTATATTTTTTGAATTTTCTTTTCTTTCTTCTTTTGCTTCTCATAAATATGTTGATTTTCTAGACTTGACCATGAAGTTTATAATTTTCTTATGAAAATTATAGATAGTTATTAAGGAAATATGGTTATGGAACCTAGGGAACTACCCTAGGATATGTGGTTTTTACTTATAAAAACCCATCGCCTAGGCAACTAGGCAACAAGGCGCCCCCCCATCGCCTAGCCTCACCTTGGCACCTTGAAAAAACTATGCTCCCTATCTTGTAATTCTTAATATTTCTAATGAAATTCTGTTATTGATCAAGAAAAAAAAAAAAAAAAGATAAAGAGTCACTGTATGTGGCTTATTTGACTTTCAAGTCAAACTTGAATATATCATCTTAGACATCTATTGTATAAGTGGTGAACTTTATTGATTTAGGTAGATGCATGGTAGATATGGACTAAAAATATGGTAGAATCACATTTCTATATATATTTTGCCTTTTATAATATCTATATTTAACAATCTAACGATTTACAATACGATTCACGATTCGATTCGATTCAATTTTCTCTACAATTTACAATACAAATACAATTTTCAGAACATTGATTAGAAGGTATGCCACAAAGAATAAATCAGAAAAGAGTAAGAAAATAAAAATAATATAAATATTTAAAGCATGTAACCTGTGGAAAAAGTGTAAATTTACCTGAACAACAAATTTACTATATCTAGAGAGTGTCCAACAAGTGATACTGCGAATGAGAGGAAATTTATCATCTAACAGAGGGATGAGAAATGCCACAATCTGCACATAGAGTAAGAATTACTTAGCATAAATTGAATATAATGAATCAGCATGTAAGCATGATTTCCAGTAACAAAGAAGAATAAAAGCACAAAAGGCCTCAACTGCAATCTACTGCATGTAGAATCCACATATACTTAAAACTTGAAAAATAAAAAACAAAGAAAGAAAAGAAAAGAAAAAGGATTTAGAAAAGCAGGAAAAGCTGGATTAGATTCCAAGCTTCCAATCAAGAGGCCCAAATACAGAATTAATTTAAAGCAACAAACTAAATAGGCTTAATCAATTTTTAAAACGCGGAGGCGTGACGCGAGGCATTCCATTACCTAGAGGCATTGATGCGTAGTTCAGAATGCAAGAGGCGTAAGCCTCCCGAACACAATGAGGCATAAGTCTCCTTAAGAGGGGGGTTAGGAGGAAAGGGAGGAGGATGAAGAGAAAGGGGGGATCTTATTTTTTCTTTATTTTTAATGAAAATCTTTTATGTTAAGAAGAATAAAGATGCATAACATTAGTTGAAAGGGGGGGTCTTGTCAAAAAGGGGGGTAGGGGGGTCTGGGGGGTGAATCCCTCCAGCCGAAGGGGCAGGGGGCAAACCACTTTCTCCCTATCTTTTCATCCCTTCCCTTTCCTTTTTTTTTCTTTTCTTTCCTTTTCTCTTTTTTTCTTCTCTTTCTTTTTCTTTCCCTTCCCTTTCTTTTCTTTTCTTTTCCTTTCATTTCTTTTTTTTTTCTTTTTTTTTTCCGTCTTTTTATATAAGATGCCCATGAGGCGCATGAGGCGTACGCCTCTAGCACGCCTCATGAAAAAAATATATGAGGCGTACGCCTCAGAGGTGTCAGCACCTCTGGCATACATACGCCTTTTAAAATACTGGGCTTAATATATCATTTTTAAAACAGGAAGAGCTTGGCAGTTTCAGTCAAAATTAAGAATAAGAAACACAATTATCCAGACCTATTTCCAGGAAGTTCAGGTAACAATTGGAACGTACATGATGACTAGCAGAGAATATTGAATAAAATACAAAAACAAATGAATAGTCAGGAATTGTCTTGGACAGGGAATTTAGCAACTCAAATGAACCATGATGTCTATGCCAACTTACCTCCAAAGTGCTTATACAATAATGTTTTCAAAGATATGTTTATGCTAATCAGCAGTGAAATTTATACCTCGGGCAAATGGGGGTAGAGGCCATTAATGCAACCTTCAGCAATGGCACCAATAGCTAGAACAGCAGCTTCCCTGTCCTTCCAGGTTGTATCATCAGCAGTAGCTAGCTTAGCTTGAACTAGAGGCATCAATGTTGGAAGAATCTCATCCCCAAACACATTTGAGAGGATATCTAGAGCGGCTGCACTGCATTTCCTTAGATTCCAAATGTTGACAATGTCATCATCCTGGAAAAGATAAATCACATAATGATCAAACAAAAAAGCAAACCAATCTGGTGAACTTATTCTGCTGACAGCCAGTAAAGCACACAACATCACCAAATTATTTACCACCCAGAGTCAGTTAATGGGAAAAGAGGTTATAACATGAATTTAAAAATTAAAAACAACATGAATAAAGATAGATAAATGAGATGTGAAACTTGAGTTGATACATCATCTTCCATGCTATCTGCTCCATGAAACCGTGATGAATGGAAACGAGGCTTCAGATCCTGAAAATGCAAGCATCTTAGCAAGATCACTCCCAGTAGATTTTCTTTTTCAATGTATAGCCACGAGAGAATAAACTAAACTAAAGAAAACATAGGAAGTCATGGACATAATTCATCACCTGGTCTCGATCAGGGAAAGACTCATCTTCCTGCACATATGTACTAGGAGTTAATAAATATCAATAAGAGTAACTCTAACTACACAAAAAAAAAACAAAATTATCCTTCCTAAAGCAAGGCACAAAAACCTCAAATATCCAACCAGTATCCAATCCACAAAACCACCCAGAGACCAGCAGAAATATGAAGCACAACCACAGCCATGCCAAAAGGACCCCAACCACAACCACATTTTCAGAAGTGTCTTCTCAACATGATATTGGAATGGGAAAAAAAACATAATCCAGAAAAACTTTACCTCTGCATCAACAAGTGATTCATCATCCTCAGCATAAACCATGTTTGACAGCAAAACCTGCAGATATGGTTGCAGCATGAACAATAAAACAGCAAAGTTTTTGGATACATATATAAAATGCGTATGTATCCATGCATGTATGTATGAAAGGGAGAGACTGAGAATTCAATAAATGAGGTGAGAAATACTGGAACTAGGCGTGGTAGAAAATCTCTCAAGCCATCTGGGTGCAATTGAGCTTCACAGTATGCTGACCTGAGAACCAAAACCAAACACTAGAAAATAAACTTCTAGAGGCAAATTGTTTCATAATGATGAATACAAAGGTTCATAAAATCTAACATCATCCCGGTATCCATTGGCCATTCCCCATTCTTCAGCACCAAGGATCACATTAGCCAAGTCATATACCTCACCTTTGTATAGAGTCTGAATCCCTAAAGGGTCCACTAAAATACCAAAAATAGCATAAAAGAGGTTACATCAAAAAGAACTAAGATCTAACTCAGTCCCAAATCAAACGGCAAAACAATACCATATAAACAACTGAGATCATGTTGAGCCAACTAAATTAACTTCAATAGTTAACCATAAATTTGCGCCAAATGATACCCTGGGCACCACTCTAAATTCAGGATGCATCAGTAACAATTTCATGATCATTAAACCAATATCAGAAATAAGCCTCAGTTCTCTGATTTTTCCTCCAAGACATCTATTTCTTTATAGCCATAATCCCCAAGGAATTGTTATCATCATCATCACCCATGCCTTATCCCAACTATATGGGGTTAGCTTCATGAACCTGTTTCACCAATCTGTTCTATTTAAAGCCACATTCACTGTTAAATTATCAGTGCTTAAATTATTTCTTACTACTTCTACCCAGCCCTTTTTGGTGGTCTTCAATGCACGTGCCCAAACCATCTTAGTCTACTCTCTCTCACCATGTCACCAATTGGAGCTTTTCCTAGGTTCCTACAGAAGACTTCATTCCTTGTCCTATCCGTATTAGTTTTTTCTCTCATCCATCTCAGAATTCACATTTATGCCACATTCATTTTTTGGACATGTTATTTCTTGACTACCCAACACTCTGCTCCATGCAACATAGCTGACCTTACAACCGTTTTATAAAATTTTCCTTTTTATCTAAGTGGTATTTGCCTATCACATAAAAGTCCAAATGCACCCCTCCAATTTGCCCATCCTACTCTAATTCTTTGGGTGACATCCTCCTCAATCTCTCCCTTATTATGAATTATTGAACCAAGGTACCAGAAATGGTCACGTTAAGTTAACACTTGGTTTCCAATCCTAAGTGTATCTTGACTTATACTTCTATTATTACTAAATTTACATGGCATATACTTTGTTTTAAGCCTACTTATGTTAAAACCTCTTGTTTCTAAGGAATTCGTCCATAAGCTTAATTTAGCATTTAATCCTTCATTAGTTTCATCAATTAAAAGTTTAAAACAATGTCCTCCGTAAACAACACGCACCATGGAACTTCCTCCTAAATATGTTTAGTCAATGACTCAATTCATCTATGGATGAGTGCAAATAAATAAGGGCCAAGTGCTGAACCTTGGTGAAGACCCATTATAACTGTAAAATCTAAGGTCTCTCCCACTGGTGTTCTAAACATTGGTTGTTGCCCCCTCATACACATCCTTAATTAGGTCTATATACCTATTTTAAACCCTTTTCTTTTCAAAGGCCCACCATATTATCTCTCAAGGAACTCTATCATATGCCTTTTCTAGACCAATGAACACCATATGAAGAACTTCCTTCTTCTCTCTAAACGTTTCTATCAATTGCCCTAAAAGAAATATAACTTCCATGGTTGACCTCCCTAGCATAAAGCCAAATTGGTTCTCCAATACACTTGTTTCATAATGTGGTTCATGAGTTTAATCCCCCGATAGTTATTACAACATTGTATATCACCTTTGTTCTTAAATGTAGGCACCATGTTGTTTATTTCTCCATTCATCAAACATCTTCTTTTCTTTCACTATCTTATAAAATAAGCTTAGTTAGACATAACAGGCCCACCTCTCTCATACCTTTCCACACTTCTATTCGAATTCCATCAGGGCCTAATGCCTTTCCCTTCATTTTAGTTAGTACCTCTTTTACTTCAATAGGTCTAACTCTACAAAGGAACATATTATTTTTAACACTACTAGTACTGCTAGATTCTCCTCCATTAGCACCCTCTCCCTATTGTTCATTTAAAAATTTTTCAAAATATTTTGTCCATTTTTGTTTGATTTCCTCATCTGTTACCAACACTTTTGATCTTCACCTTTAATGCACCTAACATAGTTTAAATCTCTACCTTCCCTTTCTTTGACTTTGCTAGTTTATACATTCCTTTTTCTCCCTCTTTAGTGCCTAGTTTATGGTAAATCTCATCACAGGTCTTATATTTAACTTCATTCACTTTCTTTTTAGCTTCCTTTCTTATGGTTTTATATTATTCCCAGTTTTCTTCATTTCCAGCTTTTTGCCATTCTTTGTAACATGCTCGTTTTAATCAGAATATATTTTCAACCACTTCATTCCACCACCAAGTTTCTCTAGTACTCATCCCCTTGAGTCAATTGCTTCGTTATGTAAGGCCTGACGCGATGGGGTATTCCTACTCGACCTCAGGTCAGCAACCATAAGACTGAGTGGAGTCAAGCCAGAAGAAGTTCCAAGGAAGATAGAAGTTTTCTCTGAAGACTGTTTCTACTCTGTGTGCCTTCTATCCTCCTCCATTGAAGCTACCTTGTGGAGGGAGTCCAGGAGGGAGGAGGAAGAAAAGGTAGAAGAACACCTACATGGAAATCAGAGATTGATTGGTTTGAAAGTGGCAGAGACTTGTGCATTTTTGGAAACTCTGAAAAAGAAGTCACAAGAGTTGTCTACAGGGGAAACTATGATGCATGCAAGACAAGGAAGTGGCTTAGGCAGCAGCAAGACCTGTGCCCAGGTTCTGACTTCCAGTTTTAACAAAGAGACAATTGCTCAATCTTCAGGTGTGTTAAAGGAGAGTGTATGCCTGGCCGGGCCTGTTTTCGAGCCGTTGAAGATGGTGAGGGCTGATTCTGGTTCACCACATGGGAAGGAGGTTGTGTCAAGTAGAAGAGTGGAGGGTGTGGAAGCAAAGGCCACTTTAAAGATCTTTGCAGATGGGCCTCCGAGTAAGCCCATTAAAAAGTGTAAAGATGTATTGGAGGGGGCCCCGTGTAATGAGCCAAAGCAAGTTGAAGACCACGTGAGGCTTTAAGTGGTCATGTGACTAACTTAGGAACACCAAGTAACCACTTAAGTGGTCACATGACCAAGGCAGGACTGAAGATGATGGACCATTGTTTAGGTCTATCATCTTCCAACTCGAGACCTGGTTCGAAGAGAGGTGGATTGAACACATCAGTGTGGAAGAAAAGGCCACTTTAAAGGTCTTTGCAGATGGACCTCCGAGTAAGCCCATTAAAAAGTGTAAAGATGTATTGGAGGGGGCCCCTAGGTGTAATGAGTCGATGCAAGTTGAAGACCACGTGAGGCTTTAAGTGGTCATGTGACTAACTTAGGAACACCAAGTAACCACTTAAGTGGTCACATGACCAAGGCAGGACCGAAGATGATGGACCATAGTTTAGGTCTATCATCTTCCAACTCGAGACCTGGTTCGACGAGAGGTGGATTGAACACATCAGCGGCGGAGGCTTCAACTAGAGACCTAGACTAGTCTCCTATTCCACGACCCTGGAGCATACAAACCCAAAGTTTGACCGACGGAGGTATAATGATGATAGCTTCTACTCAGAGTGGGTAAACTATGAAGAAGAAAAGGAAGAAGATGATGTTCTCCTCGAGGATTCCAGATTTCCAGCATAGGAAATGTATGAGAAGTAGATGCTCGAAAAGTTCCTCACTAGCAAATGTCAATGTTTTAAAAGCGCAAGGCACAAAAAAGGCATAGGGGCCAATATGCGCCCGAGGCACACGCATTTTTTAAGCAAGGCACAAAAATTAAAAAAAAAATCAAAAAAAAGTCAGAAAATTCAAAAAAGTACCAAAAAATCAAAAAATGCAAATAAATCAAAAAATATTAAACATAATATTAATAAAAGTATAAACTTAAAGTTAAAAAAATTGTTTTAAAAAACCTATTAGCTAAAATAAAAATACATAAACATAACATGTAAAGTGTATTCAAATGAAAATTTAAAAATAAAATCAAACATATAAAACATTTTCAAGCATGCAAAACCCACAATCTCTTTTTTTCCTCAATTGCGTTACTTCAAGTAGCTAATGTGATATAAAACATATTACATTCCTGATTCTATGAGTCGCCTTAGTGTACGCCCCTCAAGGCAAGCCCAAAAAATAATGAATTTCTAATTCTTAATTTTCACACAAAAAATAATGATTTTATAATTTTAATTGCCTTTAGGAAGATATTTTTCTAAGATGAATAAATGAACAACATTAGCAAATAGGGGGTTAGCCCCTAGCCCAACCGCTAGGTTCAAAAAAGAAAAGCAAAAAAGCGTAAAATTTTCAAAAGGCGCATGCCTAGGCTAAGACGCAAGGCGCAAGGCGCATCAGGCATGCACCTTTTGAAAGTGTTGCGCCTATGACCTGGGCGAGGCGCCTACCCTAAAATGTGCCCCGCCTATGCGCCTAGGCATGCCTTTTAAATCACTGGCAGATGTAGACCTTGCAACAAGACTTCTTTTTGGAGAAGAAATTGTGCCTAAGCTTGTGAACTCTCTAGAACCATCGAAGAACTTGGGAATGGGAGGCAGTACTTCAAGGGAGGTGAACGTCTTGGCCAAAATCAGAGAAGAACCCTATCACGAATCTAGATCAAGGTCAAGGTGTCCTTAGTCCGAGTACGTCATCTTCCAGTTCAAATGGCAAAGAAACAGACACTCCCTTATCCCTTGTTAGTGCACTGCAAGTTGATCCTAAGGAGACTTCTCCCAGCAAACTCCCTCAGAACCTAGGCAGAATTGGTGACACTTCGGGTTTTAGTGATTCTAGTATGGTTTGCCATGTTTTTGTTGCTTCTTGATTTTTTGGTACTAATCTATCCCCTTTCCCCAATTGTTGTTTTGTTTCAACCTGCAAGTGGTCGACACTCTTCCAAAAGCTACCTGTCCTAGTGATTCGGTTGAAGTAACAGAAGTATTAGAGGATGTGGAGGCTTTGAATGATAATGTGGAGGAAGGGGGAAGGATTTGGGG